CCCCAAAACCCCAAAACCCCAAAACCCCAAAACCCCAAAGGGTCTGAGATTATTGAACTCAAATGTTATTTACTATGTAGAGCTACAAGATGTATCTTCACCTGCAACCGTGTCCTAGTAAAAAGTTAATGTAAGGATGGAGTATCACTTAGAATCTATAGCTTAAGATCAAAAGTTTCTTCCATCCTATATTTTAGAATAAACACAAGAAAAATGGCGAAATGAAATAAATTAGAACAATGATTCAAGTCCAAAGTGGAGTACAGTTCATCAATCGCTAGTTAAAGCCTGTCTTTTAACCTTGGATAAGGAGTCTAAGGAAGCGTTATTTCTGGGCCTCCTCACACGCTGTTTTTGATGTTTCCGATGCTGTCGATGTAACAACTTATCTTCTGCCATTATATGTCTCTTATAATCCTCAAAAATCTAGTTATTATGATACTAAGTTACTTCTCTGCCTCTTCCTGAAGGTTTGGGTTCCTTCTGTAGCATCTGATCAATGATATCACTATTGCTCTCATTTTTAGCAGGTTCTGCTTCTGCCTCACTGATCTCTCCGAGCTGGTTCTTGCACTATAAGCATAGGAGGGTTCGAATAATTGGCTACTTACTTTTTCCAATAAATCTACTAGAAATTGAACTCTTTCTTCCATGGATTTTAAGGTATGCTTATTTCTCCTTGCCTTCGAGTTGTCTGAGAGAATTACACTGTGAACTTACTCCAGCTTGAGGTTCCTGAGGTCTAACTCAGTTTGAAGCTCAGTCACCTTATCATCATATTTTTCAAGAAGAGATAGAAGGTGCTCATTGTTCCTCTGCACACCTTCATATTCACTAAATTCTTTGTTCCTGTTTGTTAAAGTCTCTTGAAGAAGTTTTATCTATAGGTTGAGAGAATTAAGTACCTTAGTCTCTAGATTCTGTGTATTCAGAGATTCCCTATTGCTTTGACTAAGAATGTCCTTACCTTATCTTGAACCGTCGTATTTCATCTTGTAATTGTAGTGCATTATCTAAGTAATTCTCTGCAAGCTTTTCTCTGAGAATAGAGTGTTTGCATAGATCAGAAAACATCAGTTGGATTTGCTCCAGCTCTTGAGCCATGGCTCAGTACCTTTTCTTGAATTCCTCATATTCTTTCTTATTCAAGACAATGAAGTCTGTATCTGACTTGGAAAGTTTAGAATCCTTGTTGAGCTTCTTGGTTAATTTTGATAGAGAGCATTTCTCTTTCTGAAGTTCAGCTAGCTTAAACTTCAAGGTCTTATTATCAATAGCCAGGTTTTCCTTGGCTCTAGTCACTTCCTAAAGGAGATAATCTGTCAGATTACCTTGAGTTTATGAAGAAGGCTATTGACTCTGTTTAGTTCCTTCACACTGCTAGGCTTTATAATCCTAGAAGAGGTTTTGTTCCGCTTGCAGTCCTTAATATCCACATTTTTCATCTTTATGTATAAATTTTCTTGTTAATCTTGCCTCCAATCCTAGAACTCAGTCTACTCTTATTCTTCGTACCCAAATTAGGCTGAAACATATTTGAAGGAATGATTGAATGGGAGTCTGGGGACACACTCATCGAAGTATGAAGATTCATCCTCCTTCCTTCAGTTTTCTTCACAAACATCCCATTGATAGAATTCCGTATTAAAGGTTGTGGGTTCTGGCAATCAGGAGAAATAGTCTGAAGAATGCTATTCTCTTGCTGATCTGAGAGCTTATTTCAGCCTGGATAACCTCTTTTTAACATCAGAGATATGTTTATTTAAATTTCTTTTTGGACGAGCTTCTCCTATTTTCAATACCATTTGTAATGTCATTGCCTTTAATATATTCATGATAGGTAGTCGAGAGTTTTGAATAATCATTTAGAGTATCCAAATTTTGTGATATCTTGATCGATTTATTGACCATCATATTTTGGGTGTCTATCTTTGTGGAGCCCATTTTTGAAATAGTTGAATTATTTAAAGATCTATCCAATGTCCTTAAAGTCCTTCTCTATCAAGGTTAAAATCAACAAGAAGCATTAAAGACACGAAATGCGAGGCTAATGCTCACCTGCTTATTAGAAATCTTTTTATCCTCCATTATTTAAACTAATCAAATAAATTAAATATTATTTCAACTTTAAATTATTTTTGAGGGGTTTTGGGGTTTTGGGGTTTTGGGGTTTTGGGG